AATTACATCTAGAAGGTACACTGATATTTGCTGCAAGAGAAAATTATGAAAAAGGGAACTCTGCAAGTAAATCCCTGTAATCTATAGTGTATGGGGCCATGGTTAGGGCAAAGGTTATTATGGTGAAGGTGTTACAGAGGGATGAAAAGAGGGAGTGCTTTAGAGGGATTAGTCAAGGTTTTGGAGAGGGGGGCTGAGACTCCTTTGAACTCTTGGTTGCCTCTAACACCAGGACCCAGCTGCATGTGAAACCCCATCAAAGGCTGTTTATGAGTAACAACCCCCACTATGGGCCATCATTACAGAACAAAGCAGTGCATCAGCATTTGTGTGTTGGTGTCGATGGAGCCCGACAGACGCACGCACACATGCCTTTGCAATGTACAGTACATTTGTGTCTGTGTATATGCCAGTGAGTGTACTTTGAGAGCATCCTGAGTTGAGAAGGCGCTGGAGTGATGAGTAAACATCATTAGTCCTCATTCTGCCTCTACCCCTAATTGAACTGTATTATCAGAAGAACACATGTACTGTCAGCTCCTTTCATCTCAGGGTAAAGCACAGACATGATTAGACATCACAGAGACACATTACCTCGCCATGATACCCACATTAATGCTGAGACACTGATCATTAGGAGCTCGTAGGATTTAATGATGGTGTTGCGTTGTAGACTAGCCTATTTTTGGGTTGTTTGTTTCTAAGTTGGCAGCTTGCTTGTTTTTGTCTGCAGAATGGTGAAAGGGAAATGGTAAGACCTGACTCTGTTGACATTTTGGGATTATAAATGAGCAATTATACGATACCTCCACATTTCCCCTTCTCCACATTTCTTATTTTTGGGTGAGAAGAAGAACATTTTCATCAACAAAGATGTATGATGTATGTAAACAGTGCATGAAGAGGAAATTATAGCTATTAGGAAGCAGTTGCCCAAGATAAGGGGATGCTAAAGTTGTCTAATGCTTTTGCTTTTCTTCAACAAATGCAGTCATTATTTAAAAATATTGATCAGCCATTGATTTCTGTTCATTTCATTTCACCTTTATTGATATAGCCCGATACCACAAAGCACAGTTTCCCTCAGAGGGCTTTACAGCATACGCCACCCTCTATCCTTGGAGGCTCATAACAGATAAGGAAAAACTTTGTCGCCTCCCAGCAAGAGGGTTCTTGATTCGAACCCTTCTGTGTGGAGTCTGTACGTTCTCCCCGTGTCAGCGTGGGTTTTCTCCGGGTACTCCTGCCTTCTCCCACAGTCCAAAGATATGCTTGCTAGGGTAATTTGGTGACCCTAAATTTGCCGTAGGTGTGAATTTCAGCGTGAATGGTCGTCTGTCTCTGTGATAGTCTGGCGCCCTGTCCAGGGTGTACCCTGCCTCTTGAGTTATACTACTACTACTATACTTATACTTCCTTATAGGAGAAATCTGTCTGATAACAATAGCTGCAGCAGTGGGCATCTGGCAGGACCACGGCAGAAGGTGCAATCACAACCCACAATCCAGGCACAGCCCCGATTTGTGGGAACCTGCAGGACGAGAAAGCACAAAAGCTCCAGTGAAGAGGCTAAGTTAAGCATCATAGGAAGTTCCCAGCAGACGCCTATATCTACCTGACTAGGGGCTGGTCCAAGGCCAGCCTGAGCCAGCCCTAACTACAAGCTTTATCAAAGAGGAAAGTCTCAAGCCTACTCTTTGTTTTACACATAAACTCTTACACATATAACTCTTGGCATCAGCATCATCTTGTGTATAACTAAAATGTCATTGGTATCCTAAAATTGCTGAAGGAAAAATGTATGCATATAAAACTAACTCTAAAACAGGCCCAGGCAAGAGATAACAGGACATTAATGTCCACAACACTACAATTTTTGTTTCTATCTCATCCAGTGCACTGTGTGAAGATCTTCAATATCCGTCCTTATCGATTCATGGGCCCGGTGGCTCAGGGAGAAGCCTTGGGCTACCTGCTGCCGCTGCAGGATCGCTTCCCCGGCATCACATCACACCTGGAGCTGCAAATGTGTGACGGGAGTGACCCTTCGCCTTTCATATGACCTCAAGCCTCTCATCTTATATGGCATACGGCATCTAAGTCTTTACCTTTGTGACATTTCAAACAACCTCTACTCATTCAAATCACCCTTGACCTTTAATATGACCTCTGTCATGATACCTGTTTTGAAACCTTTAACATTTGACCCCATGACCCTGCAGATATATTCCCTGATGTCTGTGACACCTTACTGTTTACTCTAACCTTTCTGGGCCCTGGAAATTAGCATTTTTTATTCAACAGATTTTATATCCCATTTAAAATACGGCCTACGATGCAACAGTCCCACTTGTTCATCCTCTATAGGATGTAGCCAAACAAAACTTTGATGTCTTTAATAACAGCATTTCAAAACCAATACCTCACATTATGAGAATTAAGTTGTGTTTTCCCCTACTGACAGGAGTTTCAGTAAGTCATTCTTTCACAAGTCTTGTATGACTAACGATTCTTCCATTTTTGGGATATTTTTATATTATTAGCATTTTTCCACTCCATGTTGTGTATTTTTATCCCTTACTGTGGACTCATATAACCCTTTTTTATGTAATGTCTTTATTTTTGAATTATGCTATGAATTCTGTCTACTCTCATTTCTGCTTTTTTATTAAAATGGTTTCTATTTCCAGCCGGAAGTAAAATACAGCATGTGAAACGTTCACACTGGGGAGTTACGTTATGTTCCATATCTTTAATATGTGTGACCTGATATGAAAGTTCTGACTCCTGACATTTTCTGGGTAATGTAGCCATCATTTTATATAAATCTGCTGTAATTCTATTGTGAAGGAGGGCTGTGCTTCTGCAGATACAGAGGGGGAGAACTGCCACATGTACAGTGTCAGTGTAATGAGTGCAACACACCAAAAGATGGAGCTGTTTTGCAACAAAACTGTCAGTCAAATCTCAGACTTGGTCAACATGAGACAACATTTAACTTTGAAATTGTTTGAGTTATTTACAAAATACTTACACTTAAATCTAAAACAACACATTGCAGCACGAGTGTGATATTGACAAGGAAAAAACAATGACACCTCTCTGCATACAAAGCACTGTCCTGTGCTAAAATTAGCACATTTCCTGTTGAACCCATCACAGTTTTGATCATCTCGTGACAGATTGAGAGACATTAACCACATACACACAAGAATTTCATGTGATGCAGTCTCAGTGAGTCAAGCTCAATAGTTCCTTCCTTACACCCCAACAAATTTTCCACCATTAGTAGAAACAGGTCATAACCAAAATACAGACTTACCTAACTGTGAACAGCAAACCTGTGGCAGGTTCAGGTTGAAAAGCAGACCATGCTACAGTCCATTGCACAAACTGAGCAAACACTAGTGCACATGTGATCAAATTACAAAATGTGTAAGTGCTTTCCAAGGTGAAGAAACTATAAAACAAAAGTGATACTAATAAAACATAAGCATATACATACACCTACACCAACATATACACTTAATCACATACACTGAACAAAAATATAAACGCAACGCTTTTGTTTTTGCTCCCATTTTTCATGAGCTGAACTCAAAGATCTAAAACATTTTCTATATACACAAAAGACCATTAATATTGTTCACAAATCTGTCTAAATCTGTGTTAGTGAGCACTTTTCCTTTGCCGAGATAATCCATCCCACCTCACAGGTGTGACATATCAACATGCTGATTAGATGAGATGAGATTTAAAGACGTGAACAGAGTCAGCTGATCTGATGCTCAGTGGGAAGCTGTTTCAAAGACAAGGAGCAAGAATTGAAAAGACTCGATCACCCTTTGTCTTTAACCTGGACTCTAGAACAGTTAGAAGTCCCAGATTAGCAGATCAGACTAGCCAAAATAGGTGCGGTGTTTAAGGATCGTTTTGATTTGGTCAAAAGTCTAGCTGCTGAATTTTGAATGATTTGGAGCTGACGTATAGATCGATTGTTGAAGCAGGTGAATGGGGTATTACAGTATTCAAGACAGGAGGATTTAAGAGCATGTATAATTTTCTTCGTGTTATTAAAGAACAGAAGTTACCTGGATTTGGAGATATTCCTCCGCTGGTAAAAACATGACTGGACTAAATTCTTTACATGTTGCTCCAGGGTCAAATTACTGTCCAGAATAATACACAGGTTTATGTTCGGAGTAAGGGGGCTGATGAGTGGCAGAATTTGTTTTGAGGTACGTTCAGGGCCAATGATGAGAACTTCTGTCTTTTCAGAGTTACATTTTAAGAAGTTTTTGGACAGCCAGCTTTTTATGTCATATAGGCGACTGAGAAGAGATGCTAATTTACTGGTGTCAGACAGGTAGAGCTGTGTGTCATCCATGTAGCTATGGAAAGAGATGTGATGACGTATTATCTGTCCGAGGGGTAGCATATACAGAACAGATCCTAACACATATCCCTGTGGAATTCCATGTTTTGACTGAGCAATTCTTGAGGAATTTTCCCCAACGGTGACAAAACTTCTTCCATTCAATTTCCATTTTTATCCAGTTTTCATGAATCTTAGAACATGTGTTGTTTCCTTTTGAGCATCGTCATACTTTAATCTGAGTTCCCAAGCTCAGTCAAGTCAGTTTTATGTCAGTAGCACAAAATTACAACCTTGCCTCAGTTGTATAGCGGCCTATGTTGACAGTTCAGTTGATATCATATTCAACTGAACACATTCAGAGTATGAGGGATGGTGTCTGTGAAGTTTATCAGAGAGGGATGAGGGTTACAATGATTGGTGAATTACATTGGACACAAAAAAGCTCAAAGGAAATGTCATATTGCAGAGTAAACAGAAATATCAGTAGTAAAACAGGGTGCAGTACAGAGAGACAGAATATAAGGTGAGAAGATAAGAGTTGCTGAGCATGATGCTGCTTTGGATAGCCTCTGTCCTCTCCCCTGTCTGTCTTCTGTGCCCCAGAGTTAGCTCCATGGTAATACAGCTTTAAGTGTATGGATTGAACCCGTGGCTGCCTGACGCTGGAGGGTTGGTCCATGCAACATAATGAAGCGTCCCAGTCCCTCAAATGGGAGTGGGCGAGCTGGGATAGGCTGGGAGTTTGGTTGGGAACCGTCAGCGAGACGGGACCAGGCACAAGAAGACGAAGGGGAGGGAAACGAAGAACCGAGCGACTCATAACTTGTGGCTCGTGAGCGGCTGAATGTTGGACAGGAAATTAGACGTAGACAGTTTTACGGAAAGCAGCATTTGTTGCGTTCAGGGGTCACGGAGCGGCGCGGATGACAAAGAAGCGACGCCGGGCAAACTTTCTCAGCCGGGTTTAATCGCTCCTAAAACCCGACAGGGAATTCTGTTTTTCTTTTTCTTTGTAACCTGAGGTGTACAGAAGAGGACATCACCATGCCACGGCGCACCGTGCAAGAAGTAACAGTGCAGGATGTCCAGAAGCGGAGAAATCCCAACAAACACTACGTAAGCTTTGTTTTATTTCACAACAGCGCTTTGCAGCTTACATTGAGCAGTAGACCTACTTTCCTCTGCTGCCCTACTCCCTCTTCTGTAGGGCTCAGTAAAAACAAAGAGGGTGTCAGATTACAGTTTACCACGGAGTCAAATTCGCAAGTTTGACTCTTTAGACCAATAGTGGTTTTATAATGAAGATTTGAAGGCACCACACACAAAAGAGAAACTGATTTGTCAGATTCTAACTCATACAGTGAAGAAAAGGCAATAAACACTGAAGATTGACACACTTAAAGAGTTGTTGCTGTGTGATCTTCAGGTTGTCATGTATCAGACTGTAGGAAATAATGTTGGATTCATCAGCTCTTTGGGACTGATATCAAACCAGCAATTTGTCTTCTACCTAGAGGAATTATGCTCAGTGTTGTTGTTTTGGGCGTCTGACTGATGTGACCTATGACCCTCCCCGAGTCTGCATACTTTCAAGTGTCTATCAGCAATTCAGTATCACCTACAAGTTATATATGTGGATACAGGTATTGTCTGCAGTCTAACAAAGCCATTTCCAGGTCTTCTCCGCTGCCACGTGTGTGCCTTCAGAAACATTTTAATAGGCACACAAATCCAGTCCACAAACCATCCAGACTAATTCCCCGAGTTCAAATTGAGCATCTCAGCTTTGTCATGCCTCAGGCTCTTCAATTTACTCAGAAAAACATACTCACAGGCTGTGGCAACAGGAAGTAAGACTAACAGAGAGTTTCTAAGGTCATCGGAGTGAGCATAAGGTAATGTTTGAACAAGGAAAGGCCCAAATAATGTTTGCCATGTGGCATATTTTATGACTTATTAGTAAGTGCCTTGTGTGATTTTCATTCAGGGCAGTTTTCAAGCTGTATTTTAATCAAACATGTCTGATTTAAGCCAGATGTGTTGAATTATTGCACAGAATAGCTCAAGTTCTTCTACGTTAAGTCAGTGGAGACATGAAAAGTGATATTGCTATGATTATCTCCTTATCAGTGTATGCCTCTCTCTTGGCATGCAGTACCTGTGCCAGTTTAAGGGATCTGGTCCAGTTCCATTACTGTGTGTAGAAGAAAAGCAGAGAGAGACGAAGAAGAATCAATGTGTGGATATTTTCCCTGTTTCAGCAGTCACTCCCTGCTGGTACTGCAAAGTTGTGTGGGAGACAAGAATGTCAAAAAGACAAAGACCCATTTCTCGCTTTTCTGAGATTTCTAAACAATGGCGGTTTTATAGTTTGGGGGATAAATGTGGGCGAGTTTGTCCTCAAACGTACTCACATTCAGTTTAAAGTAACACCAATGACATCATATGAGATGGCCAACAGTGAAGGCCACTGCCAAGGCCTCAGCAGGCGTTCGTGTTAGTTCCGTGTACATGGCGTGTGCTCTTGCATGTTGGTTTGCATTCGTCTATGTGTGAAAACGATGCCTGGGTTGAAGGACCAACAGACCTTATACCGCTGTGAGTGTTAGTGGTCAAGGACACAGAGTTCTTGAGATCCCGTGTCTTCTCCATCTGTCTGTTTGCTCTCTGGTGCCGCCCGTGTTGTTTTGTGCCTCTTGTACTCTCTCTACACATGCAGGCTGGACACCTTAAATCTTCCAGAACCCTGGAGGTGCGGTTAAGTGAACAAAAAGCAGCTTATAGCGCCTCTGCTCATCGAAGTTGAACCTTTCTTGAAGTCGGGAAAAACAAATATCACATTCCTTAGAGACTTAAAGATATAAGAGCGTTTTATTGCCAGTATTAGTGTTTTATTGACTAGAGAATCTTTTATAGCTAAAGTTATAGCCTTTCCTGTCTTCCTCAGAGCTATGGCTTCAGCCCAATTTGCCATTGTAGCTGTTCTATTTAAATCTTAATCATTTTTTAGACCGTAGCAACCTTTTGCATATCATGGTTCCCGCCCTTAGCTGTTGAGAATTCAGCAAAGAGTTGGTGGCCACAGCAATATCATGAAATATGCTCATGTTATTGTTTAGATGGCCCTCCACTGGTTGAAGTTTACACACACTGACACATAACTCTTTTTATTACATGAAGACAGCCTCCCTGCCGGTCTGTATAGCTGCTGTAGCTGGTCCATCCGTGGCCATATCTGACTCGACTGCCCTGAAAGAGAGAGGGAGGCCAGAGAAGGTCTGGGAGTGGGGCCAACAGCATTCAGCCAGACACAGCAAGCCACCGGGGAGTTTCCAATCACCTCCCTGCCTCTCCCGTCTTCTTCAACTGAAGAGGGGAAAAAAATAAAGAGCTGTGTCTGTTGCCTGTAGACTGCAATGAGCAAAAAACTAGATGCTTTTGTTTGGATGCCTTGTGCTGTTTTACTGTTGTTAATGTGAGGCTGATGGAATTCGCAGTCTCACATGTACAAGACGTGTGTGTTGAAACTTAGTGCCACAAAGGCAACATTAGTTTATCCCTGTATTTTAATGGTGTTGAGGCACTCTGCATTAGCTTTCAATGTGATGGTATGTTATATTGAAGGCTTCACATCAAACTCACCAACTCGTGTTTCTATTGCTGCTTTTGCTGCTCATTCTTTATGGTAGTGTCTGCCAAAACAAAGTCTCTCAAGAAGTGCAATTTTGAAAAGACAACGCGGTCAGCAGGGGTGTAAATCACAAGTTTCATCATGATACAACATTATATCGGTTATTTGGATATGATGTCAATTTGAATTAAATTTAGGGGCCTGTGATCGATATGAGACAATCAGTAAATATCCTCATTGTCTTTTTGTTGGTTGTTTGCCATCGTTGGCCTGGTGCTAATCAGCTAGCACTGCTTGAATGTTAAGAAAGGAGGTGTGCTTGAATGTAAATGGGGACACAGACGTGTTGTTGTTAATCATTGAATCGATATATATCGATCCAGATTGATGTATGGCTACAGTCTTAATAGTCAGATCTGCTGCATCCATCCAGTATAATGACTTCCTCTCCAGCAGGAAGTGACACAAATAGACTAGGAAATGAAATAATCGGATATTCCCTTCGCGTTCATGTGAACGGATGATGACAGTGACTGCTGCTGATGTTGCCTGACAAGTGTGCTGTCTGCCTTTCCTCACGCTACCCTCTCTAGGAGTCACAGCACTGCCAATTACTGGCACTCTGAGTCACTGTGAGATGCACCAAGAGGTCTGGATTATCAGATTTGTTAGTTTGAAATGTTCTTATATTTATGTCTTTTGTTTTTCAGGTTTACATCATCAAAGTGTCCTGGAGTGATGGCAGTACAGAAATCATTTACAGACGCTACAGCAAGTTCTTTGACCTCCAGGTGAGTGTTGCATGTTGCAGCTTTAAAAAGAGTGTGACAAGTTATAACTGCTCCACCAACAAACACAAGCATAAGTCAGGAAGTGAATGGTACTCTCTCCATACTGCACAGTCCCCCTGTAGACCTTGTGCTCGTAGCCGAGCTCTCTCTGCTCCACCCATATGACACTGGTAATTATATTGTGCGAGAGGAGTCGGAAAATGTCCCAATGAAGTTAATAGAGGACAGTGATGAATGTGACGACCGCACTGATGACCACAGAAATGTCTGAATCATTCTTGAACGTCACGCTGGCAGTGTGTGTTGCACAAGGAGGGAATCTCATTAGTATCCTAGTTTCCCTTCCTCTTTCGAAGGTAATGGATCTGGGGCCTCGGCCACATCTGAGCTTGCAGAGCGTGGACTCCAGGAAACCCAGAAAGGCAATGAGCACATAGTCAATTTAGGCGAAGCATACTGTCAGCCCTAATTGAATTAAATTCCTTTTAATTGATTAGAACGGTCAAAGCATGAGCAATGAAATCAATAATTATAATGCTCCACTGGGGTTTCTCTGAGGCTACAAGTGTCATGTTAACCAGAAGAATATAAACAATTCCATTGGTAATATCATTAGTTTGACTCAAGGCTTCAGAAGCTGCCAACAGTCTTACTTATAAATCAGCTCATATCACACTCATGAATGTTTTTTAATCGTTGCACCTCTCTTGTTGAGACCATGCCAAAGTAAAAGTTCATGTGTAGCTGTAAACAGGAATCTTTGCAGTGTAATAAACACAGATTAGCTAAAAACATTAAGGGCTGTTAACTGCTCTTTACTGATAACATTTAAGCCTGCTGTTGAACTATTGTCAATCAGTAAAACCTGCAACAGCAGTGAAAGAATTTGACCGTCATTTTCATTATTGTTGGTGCCAATAGTTGCATTTTCATAAAACAGATAAGAAAGATGGCTAATTTAAAAGGGAACTAGGAGACATGTGGAGTGGAGATCTTGTAGATTGGTGCCAGAAATGATCCAACCGTGCAGCCTAAGGTTTCCTGTGTGTTTTGCTGGATGTATAACTCTATGACTACTTAAACTATTGAACTGCAATTTAGGCTGAATGGTTGGTTGAACATCTTTCATTGGCTTCTGTAGCTATTTTCAATTACATATATTAAATTCAGAGTATTTATTTGTGTTTTGAAAATTGCAACTAAAGTAAATTAAACTCCATGCGAGTTTCACAATGTTGGTAATTCCGTAAATTGGGTTTCATCATCCAGCCGTAGCACTGCCTTGCTTTTGATGTTTTTGGCTCACGAAGAAGGCTTTTAAGACTTTGTGAGCGCTGTGTCTAAGTGAGAGGAGGAGATTGGGAAACCTTCACATATTAGTAAGAGGGGAGTTTTCTTTCCAGTAAGAGCTGGAAAGTCAGTTTTTCAAAGACAGAGATCCTAGCAACAGATGAAGAATTGCTGAATCAGAATTAATCAGTGACCACACATGTTGTCATTTATGTGCAAGGAACACAGACTGAATGAAATAATGGGCGTAGCCATTGAGTTAGGCATTTTGATCATCGCCAGCTTGGTGTTTTGGAGCCAGAATATTTGAATGAGAGGGTGGAGCTGTGGAGGAGCGAGGGATGGATCTGATTCAGGCTGTGGTGATGCCTCACAAGCCCTTTTAAGAAAAAGACTGCGCAGTAGAGCCGCTACACAGTCCTTTCATAATGCCCCTGCATTTTAACAACAACAACAATTTACTGTTTTTGTGAAATAGCGGCTGATTACGTTCTCTGCTTGAGGAGTGAAGACTTCCTGGACCTCATTGTTTTCCCAATTTGTGGACATTTTTGGCAACTGTTCTTCTTGTTTGAGTTAGCCGCTAACTGCTATCAGCTACTATTTAAATCTCCAGGCAATTGGTTGCATGCATAACACGTCGCCAAAATGTCAACCAACCTTGACACCCATGATCCCGTCCCGCCAGCTGTCCCATTTATACAGAGGTCGTTTCGATGCTGTTACTTCCTCCGTTCCCAGCTCAGAGGCGAGACAGCTCTGTCCCCCAGTTCCGCAATGGCAGCTTTTATACAGAACAGGAAGGTGCAATAATGGCGTGAAATTCCTGCCTTGAAGAGGCAGTGTAAAAGGACCTACAGACAGCCTGTCACTCAAAGCAGCCACACCCTTAATTATGCATAACATTAATGACATTAAAATAGGTGAGTTATAAAAGAATTCATAAAAGTTAAAAGGGGACGGTAGCTATGGAGACCAAAACTGTTTTTGTACCAGGCTCTAAACATGTTTATTTCTGCTGTAAAGTTCGGCATTTCAACATGGGTGTCTATGGGGATTGACTTCCTTTTGGAGCCAGCCTCAAGTGTCCAAGAGAGCAACAGCAGTTTTGGGCACTTGCTTCCATTTTTAAGCCCTGGAGGTTGCCGCTTGGCTAGGAAACACAAGTTCTTTCCTGTTGTCTCTTTAAAACATCCACAGATACTAATTAAAGAGATTTTACTGTCACTGATCACTTTCAACAATATCATTCCTTGTTAATTTCGCCCATACCTCAGCACATTACCAGCACACATAACTAGTAGTTACATTACAGTATCGGATCAATGGCCTTGAACTAGATGAGCATACATGAGATATTTTCAGCGGGGGCATTCCTCGCTGGTGTTCACCCTGCCATGCCATTCAGCTGCTTCCTGCTGAGTTGACAGCCTGTGGGTGGGCTCTCACTGGTGAGAGAGATGTAGATAAGCCCAGCTGGAGAGATTACAAGTCTCTTATCTCCTGTTAGATTTGGCATTGACATCTTATAAGCCACCTTGAGGCTGTGGTATTTCTTACAGAAAGGCTGGCAAGTTGGAGTTGGAAGGCCGGACATCTCATCAGCTCCATGATGATAAAGGGATTATAAATGTCTGTTGGTAGAATGTATTTGAAGTTCTTTTGTTAACTTTTTAAAAGATTATTTTATCATTTTGACCCGTTACACAGTGCATTTTGATGAGGAATAAGGCAATGGTTTGACATCATCAGGCATCATCCCAGGTGCCCGGCCCGGATAGTGACATAGAGCTGAGTCATTGAGCTCTTCTCGTTACCATTTCGTCATTGTCTGTCATCTGCCTTTGATTTTTTTACGTCTTATCCTGCCTTGTTCCATCTGCTCTGGTCATCGCTCATTCTGTTGCCTTATGATACAGGAGGGGTTTATATGAATAGAGAAAAGATGATACTGTAAAAAAAAAAAAAAAAAGAAGAAGTTTTACTGGTCACACCAAAGCCTCAGAGCCAGACAGGAAATGTTATTCACCACATCCCGTCAACACAGCTGGCCCAAGTAGCTGATGCATTAGTTCAACCAAGGAAACGTGTGCTTTTTTTACCGACCACAGGCAGTGTTTATTCACTCAGTCTGACATCAGTAGGATTTCTACATTTCTAAATGCTTGGTTGTTTAAATCCAGATATATGTATTCTATATTTGAAAGGATGACACCTTTTTAGTTTTTTTCTATAAACAGATACAATCCAGACCAAGCTGGGTTAAGCAGACAGTGATCCTGACAACATGAAAAAAGGGGTGTCATTACATATATAGAATCTTAATGCTAATTTGCATTTCTTTATATTTTCAAAAACAGTCTGCCCACATTTCTCTGTGATTACATGTGTCGTGCGTGTCTGACGGCATTCACTTTCTGAGAATTCTTGACCCAAGAGCTAGACGCTCTTCTCACCCAAGATATTTCTGCCACTTCTCACCCACCTCTTTCCTGCAACACCCACACTGGAGTCTCCATGTAGCTGCTACCCCTAAATACACCTAAATACATCAAACTGGCACATGTGGGTACTTTGCAAAACTTTGAGGCCACGCCCCTTTTTTTGGGGGGGGGGGGGGGGGGGGGGGGTAGAAAACCAAAGATTCTATAGCTAGATTTCATTGCAGTTTGACGTGTGTTTGGATCATAATTTGGAGAAGTCTGTTTGCATATATTTTTTGTTAAGCCAATGTTTTTTTTTTACAGACATGTAATCATCATTTTGCAACCTTGTCTGAACCAGAGTGTTTGCGATACCTTAATAAATAAAGGTCGATTGCCGTCATGCTAGGGCTGCTCGATTAATCGAATTTTAATCTAGATTACGATTTGGGCTTTCAACGATTATGAAAACAAGATAATCGACATAAAACGATTATGCGCTTCGTGTCAGCTTACTCTCGTTGTCTCGTGTTGCAAATCAAACGCACCCGGAAGCCACGCATGCACAATACTGCCCCGTCCCCTCCTCTCTATTCACTCCATGAGCCAGTCAAGTAGGTGAACTATGCATAATGTGAGGGGCAGGTGATCGCAGAAGATTTCAATAACAGTGTGTGGAAAATGGCAGAGAGAGTCACTTCAGGCTTCCCATGTCGGAGTAGAGCAGTGTCCCAACCAGGGGTCGCGTTAACCGGATATTCTTGGTCATTGACCGTTTTTTTACAACAATGACCGGAAAATCTGAAGGCCGTCGGCCATTTTGACCGGTTGCAATTACCACCCCTGCCCACTTGGCAGCAGAGTGCACAGTCAGTGGTTTAAGTGGCTGCCGTTTTCACACTGCAGAGAAAAAGTCATTCATCTGCTTCATGTAGCGTTGTTGGACATAACGCCCTGGACATACCAGACGTGGAACCGAAGCACGGCGCCCAGCAGCGGAGGCAGTTTTCAGTCAGCACCCATGTTAACCTATCTGACTGTCCACACAGGCCGCTGAGCAGAGCAGAGCGCACGCGGAGTAGAGGCAGCGCTTCAGTTCGGCGTCTGGTCTATTTTTCACGTGAGCCACGAGCGCTTCTGTCAAGCTGGATCGAGCGGATCGTACCAAACAGGAAGTCGGACACAGAAAAGACGAGAGAATCCGGCCAATTTTCAAAATAAAATAACAACAGCATGCACTGAGGAACATTTTTCAATACCATAATCACTTCATCACAATTTTAATTT